ACTCGAAATGCAACTCTCATCTCTACTTCACTTTCGTAACTACTGTGAACAAGCAATGAGAAAAGAACGCCCTGTTGTTACTTATGTGAAAACCTCACTAGCGTGCAAGCGAGGAGAGAAGCTACGAGAAAATCTATGCTTAATTTTTTCCCATTAACGAGGAAATTGATTTTGTGTGCGTAGTTTTATTTGAAATCCTTTTTAATTTTCTTTATTTTTTCATGGATTCTTTACAATGTGTCTCTTGGGATCTGGGGTTCCTCCAAACCTCGATTGGATATCGCGGCGCTGAAATTTCAGTTCGAAACTTTTTTAACATCAGTATGGCAGATTGCAATCTTGGCTTTAAGCAACATGTCTGAAGAAAACAAGAGTAAATTTTGTTTTTCAAGAATTACTTCTTTTAAAGTTATTGTTATATTTAGAAAAAAAATTAACCTTATAATCTTCATTCATCTCCTCCAACACCCATAGATATTGAAACAAAACTGTGTAGTCTCTAACGTGTGAAAAGTGATTGTGATTTTGTGAGATACCCAAGTGTCCTCGAAAAATCCAAAACAAGGAAACAGTTTCGATTGTGACAACAAAACACAAATATTGGTTTATGTTATTCCGCCTATTCTCATACTTCGCGTATCGACATCTTTCTAATATCAGTGCCTCGCTACTTACGTCACAGCTTTATAGCCTCTTTAGTGTAAAGAAAAGGTGTTAAGGGGATGTAAGGAACTGATGTACTGTATATACTATTCTTGCACTACTATTTTTAAATTACTATTGAACTGTGTATCCGTGTATACGAAACTGTGCTATTGCAGTATTTGTGGAGACTTTTTTTTGTTAAAATATTTAATTAATTCAGTGTTATACGAGATAATGTTATCTGTTGTTCTTGCACAGTGCGCGTGTTTCTTTTTGAAAAAAGTATTTTTGTTTGGGGAAGTTCAGCAACATTTATGCTGTTGTAAACCTCTACTTAGAACTAATTGTCTCTCATCAATTTTCTAATAATAATTTTAAAATATTCAAATAGTTCATTCATATTCCTGGATAGTGAATGCGCTTTTGCTCGTGGAATAGACCCGATTTTACATTTCTAGATTTCAGAATAGCTCTAGGACTGTATATCTCGCGATTACCTTAGAAGTGGATTTTAAGTCAATGATTTTTTTAAAATTAACATCTTAATTAAAAACAAATCACTGAATGTCTATGTGATATATTTTTGTATTACAGTGGTACCCTCAGGAAATTAAAAATACAATAAAACCATTCGTATATTTTAAAACAGAATTATTTTCATTGTCATCAACACACAAAAATTCACGTTTCGTGAAAAATGTGGCCGCTCCATCAGGAAGGCAGAAATTAAACAGTTATAACTATTACAACTGTTTCTCTAATCACCTTTTTGAAATTCTGAAACTGCTAATTGTCTTTCTGCAACTACCAAAATGAAGATAGATGTTTTTTCTTAATAAATTTATCTCTTTCAATTAGTTCATGTACAATTTTTCGAAAATATACCGAGTATTTTCGCGTAATTTTGCGTTAAAAATAGGCAATATTTAAACAATAATTATCTTAGGAACGTCTCCAAATTATTTCTTTAGTTTGCTCCTTAATATAAAAAAGTATGTACGTATGTACTTGGCGCAACAGTCCTTGAACGGCCTCAGGCCTACCGGCGACGTCTCTGCCACGCAGTCAGGAGGTAAGGGGGTACGTGTGGTTAGCATGTAGACATTTCCACTCCTAATTCAGGTCTTCTCAACCTGAGACGTGAATTTTCTCATCGTCACACAGCAACATATACTGGGACATTGAAAGGAAAACGCACACTAGTCTTTGCGCGAATCGAACCCCGGGTCGCGTTGTGGAAAGCGAGCACGCTGACCAACAGCTAGCCACGAGAACAATATAGAAAAGTACGCTTAAAAAATTGCGCACGTTCTATTTTCGTTGAACTATCTGAATTTTCGAAAATTGCAAAAATATATAAATACCGCGAGAGCGTACGTGCTGTTGTAGCACCATTAGTTTTATATTGAGAAATGTTTACGTGAGCTTTCGCTTTGTGAATATTTTTCAGTTAATTATGGTTAAGAGTACCGCTGGTCTGGTGGCATTGCATGTTGGAGCACTGCTCCAAAGTACATCGTTTCACCAAGACTATGGGTTCGAATTCACCGTTTTTCGGTTATGTGCTGGCATGGTGTGCATTTCCAGCTGACCACCTTTGAACTAAGATCCCTCTATTTCCTATCCCTATCCACGTAACTAGTGTGATTAAATTGAGATGTGTTCGGTGCACTAGGCCTAGGGGCTACTGCGGTTAGCACTACCTGGGTGCAACCAGCCATTGAAACATGAGCAATCTTCAACTGAACCAAGCGCCAACGGTCCCCTGAGCCACACTGGTTACGGAAAAAATAGGGATTACGATTCACCCGGATTGAGGACACCCGAAAAAACCAAGAGGTAAGAACGGACGAAAATAAGGAACGTAAGACTCTCAAACAAATAAGTCTTTGGCTTTTAAAGAAATCAAGAGAGATTTACGAGTTACTATGTTCATTGCAAATGAACGTCCATGAACAATAAAAGGCTTTATCAAATGAACTGACGCTTATCAAAATACAAATTTGAAAAGGAACAGTTTTCGCGCTTCGAATATTTTAAACGACTCCTTTACAGCGAAACTTGATGTATTTCAAGCACTTAATATTGAATTCACTTTTTAGTCGACAGTTCCCAAAAGCTTTCACCTATATAAATTTATTTATTCATACACAAATGCATACATTCTTGTTGGTATCATGAGGACAACATAGGTAATATAGGCGTCTCATGATGCCAATTCTCTCGACGAGTGGTATTATTTACTAGACAAAATTAAATGGGATTGTGTTACTGCAATGCTCTTGAGACTATGACGTCTCGAGCATTTGATACAGGGAGGTTGGCATGATATGATAATATGTGATGATGTCCCGCGTCAAAGTGATGCAAGAGTATTGCAGAATTTCTGTTGATGTATTTGCCAGTTGCTATGCGAAACTAATGCAGTATATCACAGCATTTAATTTGTAAATACACTTTAAGTGCAAGTTTGCCTTTCAACTTTGTTCTATTTTCAATAAAATGACGTTAAAATTTATGGACTATGAAAATAAGTTATACGCCATTTTAAAGACAACCAAACAATTTGAGCAATTTAGTACGTTGTTTATCATTTGTATAATTTGCAAACCTCAACAATCATACATACTCTTCTAGATTTTGATATATTATTGCTTGCAATTTTTTTTACTATATTTTAGAAGCACCTATCATAGAGTACAAATGTATACTACCTGTCGAGGAACGGCGCACTAATGAAGAAACGGCAGAAAATTCTAAGATATTAAAACACTTCAATAACTGAAGAGAAAATTGAGAGGCGTGTGAATACAGGGTGTCTTCTTCATTGAAAGAAATCATATTCGGAGATTCTATTACTCAGGTAGGTGATAAATATAGATACTTCATATGTACAGCGATAAATAACTACATTACACTTGCATGACAAGCATGGGAAAATTCAAATTATATTTTTTACGTATGTAAAAAAATTGGCTTGTGGAAGCATAATTAAAGAACAGAGATTTCCAGAAAAAACGTAATCGGAGATCAAGGGTTTTAAAAGCACGTGAAAGATAAATTTGAAATTAAGCGAGGACCGAGAATATGAGTTGGCTAAGGTGTGGATGAATGTAATGCACGAGAGTACCATTAAAGAAAAGTTAAAGAGAATACTGAAGAACGATTTGAAACACAAAGTCATATCAATGTGCAGAAATGAAATGTAACTTAGAGGGTAAGTGATGATATTGACAATAATGATGATCAGGGTTTGACTATGTAGCATAATGGGGATAATTATGAAAAAGAGAGGATATAAAGACGAAGAGGTCATGCAGGAGAACGACGATGATAATAATGATGTAACGAAAGAAAGAAGGAAGATATTGGAAACGAGAAGGGAAAGAATAGAGAGGAAAGTGAAGAGAATGGACAGGAAAGGAAGAGAATGGAGAGGAAAAGGAAAAGAATGGAGAGGAAAGGAAGAGGCTGGTGAGGAAACGGGAGAGAAAAAGGGGAAAGGATGGGAGTAAAATTGGAAAGGACGGAAAAGAAGAAGGGAGAAGGGGAATAGAGAAAGGAAGGAACAATAAGGAGATGGGGGGGATAGGGAAGGCAAAGGGAGAAGGAGAAAGCAGAGGAAGATGAACTTGGAGGTTAGAGAGTTGTTAATAGCCAAGAAGCGAAGTAGGAGATCGAGAAGGGAAGCTGATTCTTCGGTTCGGCCGTGATAACAAAACAGTAGCTACTGGGAGTGCGCGAGCGTCGCTTGCAGCGGTCTGCACCTGCACCTGGCCG